TGTGATTCCCACCTCGAGAATACTACTCAACTTTTGAGGCACCGATCCAATTTTTGTGTTGAAGTTCGGCAACTCTGCGTGCGTGTTGTAGTCGCGTTTTAATTCTGTGCAAGAAATATTTCAATTTCTTAGTATTTCTTAGTTTTTTGGCTTCATTCATGTCTAAATAATGAAGAACTTTACAACAATACAGTATGAATTTAACTTATGTGAATTATATTAATCTTTTATGTGAAAAATTCATTTCGGTTTTGTGCAATCAACAATTAGAGCTCTTGGTAAAAGGCCCCGTTTTTTTATTTATTTATTTATTTATTTATTTATTCCACTTATACAAGAAACTCAACTAAAACAAAATGGCAGTCGAGTTCAATTGACTCTTAAGTAAATCTTAAAATTATTTAATAATAAAACTTAGTATAAGTACAATAAAACAAATAAGGAGGAAAAAAAAAAAAAAGCATGTACACAATTAGCATAGAGCCACGCCCACAACCGATACAGGACCAAATTGCAAGTGAACCCCTAAGCCATCGCAAACTTGCATAAGCTTGGCAACCGATAATTGTTAACAACAAATTAATTTTCGACTCATAATGACAAAATCTAAGGTTAAATCAGTTTTCTGTTAATCTTTCTTTACGTTTTTTTTTTTTTTGCTTTCGCTCTCTATTTACATTAGGAACGGAAGTGAGAAGTTTGCTTTAATTTGCTGAAAATTTGTGACGTGGGATCTTTTTGTTTTTTGCTCTTTTTTTCTCTTTACAAGCTTCTTTTGTTGTTTTCACCGGACTTGGATTGTCTATTTACACCTTGTGGAAGAAATTTGAAGCAATTAAGACTAGGTTTGATGAGTGTCGTTATATTGCGCTTTCATCTTCTTCCCCAGCTAGCAAAGTTACAACTCGTAGCGTAGCGTTGCCTCTGAGCTTTCCTAAACGCGATTCGTTGGTGCAAGTCAGCGATTCCTCAAAGTCTACAAAGAACGTTAGCGTTTCTGCTATTGTTGAGTCGGTCGGTAACAAAAAAGTTGCAAAGAAGCCGGGAAGTCCTTCTGGTTTGAGCTATGCTGAAGTGGCAAGGGTATCTCCTCGCATTGGCGTCACTCAATCTGCTCAGCCATCAACGCCTAAAACTAATAATGAGAATAGCAAATCGTCCTCTCCTTCTGACAGTTCGAGTGTGAACGCTGGTCGCTAAACTGGGCAGGTCGCACAAACTGCTCGTGCAAGTGTGGTTACCCCTTCTATATTCTTCCCAATTCAAAACTCCCAATCCGTGAACCCTACTGCTTCTAGTACAGATGACAATTGCTTGAAGGCAGTTCCTCGAACAAAGACAATATTTCTGTCAAGAATGGCACCTGATACATCTGTGGATAACATAAAAAATTATCTGGCGACGAAAGTTCCACCTGTCAATTTAAAGCTTGTTAGCATTTTCAAATTGGCTCCTTCTCAGCATAGAGCAATCTCGTCTTTTAAAACTCTAGTTCCGAATGAAAACGTGAATATGTTGTTAATTAAACTATTGTGGCCGGTTGGATCCTTAATTAAGGAATTTATCCCCCATAATACTAATGCAGTAGCCCTTTCCTCTTCAAAAAACTAAACATTTCTTCAGGAACATTATCTCTCATTCATCAAAATGTTAGGGGCCTAAATTCAAAAATTCGTTCTACTTTCCTAAATTCAGTCAGCACGGAGATTTCCTGCTTGGCCTTCACTGAAACGTGGTTATAGCCTGATCTACATTCGTTGGAGCAGATTTTCAGAAGTGATCAATTGTATCGTAGTGGTAGTGGTGTTTTAACTGCGATATTTGTGGCAGTCCCCTCGTACTCAATTGAATTTCTCACTTCTCGCGACGTTGAATTTATCGCCTTTCGAGCGAAATTTGTCTTCCTTTTAGTTTACCTGAGGATCCTTATCACCCAGCATTGGGTATTTCCTTTGATTACAAGCATGGTGGTTTGTTGAACTTCTATAACGTTACAAATTCAACTTTTTCAAATAAATGTTATGATTTATGATTTCCATAAAATCAATGTTTCAATGCTAAAATCATATTTTTAACATATTGCGCTTGATTTCTCAGTTGGAAGTATTGATAGCTTACTGTCGTCGTTCTACAATATATTAAATCAGGCTATTTCCGCCTCCATTCCGATCAAGCAGTCCCATCCTTGAAGCAGGTGTCCCCCGTAGTTTAATAACACAACTATGTATTACAAGAATAGGAAAAAAAAGCTTTTCAAAAACTGTTCGAAAAGTCGTTCTTCTTTCGACTATTCCGACTGTGCTGGCGAGCTATACGGTGTTATCTCAAAGATTTTTAACAAGTCCTTGAATTTAGGTGCTTTCCCTTTGTGTTGGAAGGCTTGTTTCCTTATTCCTATTCACAAAAGTGGAAGTAGGCAACTTGTAGAGAAATACAGAGGCATTGTCAAGTTGAGTGTCTTGCGCAAACTGTTCGAGCAAATTGTGACTCAGCATTTGGCTTTTGTCATCAAATCGTATATTTCTCCACTCCAACATGGCTTTCGCAAAGGAAGACATACGGTCACCAACTTTTTAAGGTTTACTTGTCATGCTTTCAAGACTTTTTCTAGTGGCTCTCGCACTGATCTTATATATACTGATTTAAGCAAGACATTTAATTTAGTTAATCATAACTTACTTATCTTTAAACTCCAAGCCCCTGGCTTCCTTTTCTATATAGTGAAATGGATAAGCTCTTATCTGCACAATATATCATTTAGGGTTTTGTTTAACTTCATTACCTCGGATCAATTCCCCGTGACGTCTGGCGTACCTCAAGGTAGCCACTTAAGACCCATCTTATTTAATTTATACTTTAATGATTTGCCCTCGGCGATTAAATCCAGCGAGATCTTAATGTATTCTGATGATGTGAAGCTGTTTTCTTCTTTCTCCGTACAATCGCAATCAAATCAGCTTGAAATTGACTTGAATAATGAATGAATCTTATGAATCTAAATCTAAATAAATGTAAGAAGCTTTCTTTCTCAAAGGCTGTACATGTATTTGGTTAGACCTATGCTTGAGTATGTCTCTGTTGTGTGGTCTCCTTCATATAGGTGCTATGTAAATTCAATTGAATCTGTTCAAAAGCAATTCTTGTTGTTTGGCCTTAGGGATTGCTTCTCTTCCCCTCTATGAAAACTGGTTGCTTCTATTATCCTTACCGCCACTTAAGAAAAGTAGATTTGTTCTTGGGGTGTCCTTTTTAATCAAAGTAATAAATGGTAGTATTGACTCGCCTGCATTACTTGTTCAGATAAGCTATAATGTTCCTAACCGCTTCTCTAGGCACTTCATCTTGATTAAGCTTAGTCAATGTAAATATAATTATAAGTTGTTTAAACCGTTCAGAGTTGTTTGCAGAAACCTGAATTAGTCTATCACTTATTCTCAATACCAGACCCATTAAAGTCTACTAAAGCAACGTTGCTTAATATCCGCGATTGTCGCACTTAAACTTACATTTCATTCTTAATATTTCATTTTTTATTTAAAATAATATTGCGTTGTTAACGTGTTGGTTGCCAAGCTTACGCACGTTTGCAATGGTTTAGGGGTTCACTTGCAACCCGGATGTCTTCCTGTGCTTCTGTGCTAGCTGTGTACATGCTTTTTTTCTTTTTTTTTTCTTTTCTCTCTCTATTTATTTATACATGAATTATTGTTTTTAACTTTTTAAGTTATTTTTGAACTTACTTTGTTTTTATTATCCTCCCTTTTATCTTCCTTTTTATTGTATACTAGCTTTTAAAGAAACTAGTATAAGATTTTCTCTCAAGATGCACTGAATTCGACTATAAGTTTCTTTAGTTAAATTTCATGTATAAAAGCGTATAAAAAAAATAAATAAAAAAAAACTTAAGTTTGACTTTTTGACTTAAGGACAAGAGTGCCCGTCAACCAGGCCCCCGTGTTCGAGGCAAGTGACAGTCGAACGGGCCAATTTCCCTTCTGATTTATAAAGTCGGGCATTGTCACATTATAAATTCAATTTATCGTGTCTCCCAATGAATTTAAGCCGTTTGTCTTCTAACGCTCGATTTAAACGCATTAATTTCTTGCGCTATAAGCCGAAGACGATTGTAGCAGCTCATGCCACACCACGCTGAGCTGGTCGCGTAGAGAGCATGCCTTTAAACTCGAAATCTTAATTCATAAAAACTTTCAAACCACTCATGGTGCGCCAAACCACTCAATTTAGCGTTATATGACAAGTCATCGAAGTTGATGCTGTTTATTGCATTTCCAACCAGTATTACATTCATTCTTTTATATTGTTTACTTTCATTGTTTGATTTAACAGAAAAGATAAATAAAGGATTAATATGGAGAAGAGTGGTGATGGCAAGCACATCAATTTTTTTAATACAAAATATACAAAACGCAAATGCCATAAAAAATAAAATCTCTTTTTCCAAAAGCATTTTCAATTTTAGAGTTTTATTTTATTTATTATATTTCAGGATCTTCTCGAAATGTAAAAAAAAAAAAATTTTTGCACGCTACGTCCCTATACGAAATTCAGAACAGGAAAAATATATTACGAATTTTGACTTTTAACTTTCAGCCAAGAAGAGAAATGTTTGGAATCGTATTGCGTTGGTAGGAAAGAAAGTACTGCGGATAGACGAAAACGGCGCGCAGCTATAACGTACAAGTTTTAAAAGCAATAAGTTATACCTTTTGATATATTATGACGAAGAAAAGGGAGGAATTGTGTTAAGCAAAATAGTGCGAAGTATTTAATAATTAATACGCCTCGGCGGTAACGCTTTAAATACACGATAAAGCTCTGCTAACATCATCTTCGAGAAATATTTCTTATTATAATTTTGCCCATCGTTTTTAAATTGATTCCATAAGTGTATACAGGTTCAAGATGACAGAACCCTCATTATCTAAAGCATAATTCCACGACGTTGTTTTAACTTGCTCCTGTAATCGAAAGACTTTATATTCAACAAGAGTGAGCTGTCTTTTATTTTAATACTGCTGAAGATAACTAACACACATACATTGGAAATATTAACTTAATTAATACCAAATTTGTAGCAGAGAAAAGGACCCTTAAGCAGCGACACATTCTATGTATAAATAACAAATAAATAATAAACACTTCCCTTCAAGGCACTCAATCATAATAAAACTTACTATCAGACTTGTCCCAACCGATGTTTACATTATTCTTGATGTTCTCAGCCTCTAGCCAAACTCGCAAAGGTTCAAAATATTCAGCGATTGCTTTACCCGTCATAATGCGGTCACCATTAAAAGCTTCTAATGCATCAGGCCATGGTTTAGAAGAACCCAATGAAAGCATTTTACTGTAAAACGATTGCGCTTTGAGAAAACTAATAATACATTTTTTCCAAATTATTTAACTCACTGAAACGCTTCTCCTGCCTCCACACTACCATAGATATCGCAGTTATCCAGAGGCATTTGAGGATTATTGGGATCGTATTGACCTGCCTTAATGCAGGCGCTCTTATAGAATTGGAACTGGATGATAAAGGATACCAAATATCTCAAGTATTCCACATCGGCCGAAACGTGGTATTTAGCAGGAGCGTCAAAATCTTTTTCAGTTCGTACAACTGGTGGTTCAATACCTGAATATTGTTCACGCAAATTCCAGAAAGCACAGTTCCATTCAGACTTATCCACTTCACCACGGAACAAGGCCCAACGATATTTATCCATTGTAAAAGCAAAGGGCAAGAAAACAATCTTATCCAAGGCCTGATCGAACAACAAAAGTTAACTCAAGATATGTCAACAAATATCGTCGAGGAAACACTTACAGTCAAAAACAATTGATTGATACGAGCTTCTTCATCATGTACATAATCTTTTAACAGACCCACTAGTTCCAAGTGCTTTGGCGTGGATACCGATAGAGAAAGAACATCACCGACGGCTTCATGGAAACCAGGATTAGCCCCAGAACGATAGACAAATGGTTGATGTTGATATTGCAAAAAATATTGAATATGACCCAATTCATGGTGAACGGTAAAGAATTGATCTTGAGTAACCCGAGTACATTGTTTAATGCGAACATCATTCACTAAATAAAAATCCCAGGCGCTGGCATGACATATTAAATCGCGTCCATCTGTAGGCTTTTCCAAAATACTCTTTTCCCAGAATTCTCTGCAAAAAGAAATGTGTTAAAAATTGTGACTTCTATTTTTGGTGTTAAATGTCTTTACTTTGGTAATTTCGTTAAATTCATGGATGTAAAGAAATCGTCACCCATTTCGAACATTTTCAAAGGCGTATAACCTTGTTTGACCATTTCGCTGGTAACATCAATCAAAGGCTTTTCGGGAAAAGGAGATATTATATCAGCAATATCAGACCACTGTTGAGCCCACATATTACCCAATAAATGCATTGGTATGGGTCCGGTTCTCGACACCACATCATCACCATAGTGTTGGTTTAAACGATAACGCACATAACCGTGCAATTGATGATATAACGGTTTAATATCTTCGAAAATGTCCTCCAGTTGTTGCTCAAAGGTCTCATCTTCATACTCATCTAGCCACAATTCAGCACCAGAAGTGAAATCTGAAAGAAAAGCATTTTGTAAATATTTAAAAATGGAAGGGAAGAAAATAAACACAGAAGAGACGATCCCCGTCAACTTACTGTTTAGTTGTGCGGCCTTAGTATTCAATTCAATATATCTCCCAAAGTGTTTACGGGTCGGAGTTCCAGCTTTATTATAAAACTCTAACCAGTAATGTTTCAGTTCTTCGGGATCTCGGCTCTTAGTAATAATCTCTTCTACGTCTGGATCTAACGACATATCACATTTATTGTTATCTTTATAATCACATACGCGCACTTTGGCAAAATTTGATTCCATTGAAGAAAGAACGTCTAATAACTCAGCGTAGTCATCATCAGGCAAAGCAGCGTAGCCCAATTTGGAAAACATTTTAAACTGACGTTTCAAATCGTCGGATTGAAAAAGATTCCAGTCAAACTTCGCAATATCCTTAGCGACTTCCTTCATAAATTTCGCTAGTTCAGCAGAGATTTCATTCTTTTTGTGTTCATTCTCATCGGTTATATTGCTAGCAAAGTTCCAAGAAGCCTCGGTCTCGATATTCGTGCGTCTAGCTATTTCTGCATTAAGGTTCTGCAAATATTCAGCAGCTACTATTTCCTCTTTTATACCAGCGGAGCAAAGCTACAAAAAGAAACGAGCAGAACTTTTATATACGAAGTGAAACAACAACGAGCTGAGTGGTGAGAAGGAATTGCAAACTTACCGCTACACTGGCTAAGAAGGCCAGCAACAACAATTTCATACTTATTTTGGTATTCACAGTAGCTATAAAAAGATATCCAAATTAGACAAAAGTAAATAAAAAATCGAAGCAAAAATTATTGTCAATTAAAAAAACAGAAAAATCAAACCGCAAAAAGTCAACTCCAGGATTTTCCGTGACCGAGTTCTGCATAAAATATCCAAAGTCGAATCAAGGTCGTAAGAGAACATTGACCAAAAAAGCAAAAGGCAAAAAATAATCACGTATTGAAAACTAATTTGTGCTGCGGTCCTATCGCACTGTTTCATATAAATGTTTCAATATTGACTCATAATGATTAACCAATGGCATGAAAGCAAAATTTATTCATTATCGAAGCATGAGATACATTAACTTAAGTTTCTTTACAAATTTTGACCGTAAACAATTAAAAGAATATACATATCACAATAGAAGTTTTCGCGTAACTGAGATCTAACGACAGTCTCAATCGATCTCTCTTAAAAGCATAGAAAATTATTCATAAAAACATATAGTAATATTCGCAATATCCTCATATTCGGATATTTCGGATATTTGCCGATTGACTACGTTCTTCTTTGAGCAGATCACGGTAAAAAGTAATGAAATTATTTTAATAAAATTTATATCCAACTTTTTTCTTGATTTTTTACAGTCTTTCATGATTTTAAAAGCAGACGCTGCAGACGAATACATATAAATGCATATTTTTGTAGGCTGCTTATCGGAACGGTAAATCTAAGTTACCATAAAACCGTAAACAATACAGGCCAAAATATGTATAGAAAAGTATTGCGTCAACAAACGTCTCCGTAAGCCTACAAAAAGTTAGTCTGACTAAAAAGTAACAGCTTAACTTAACAAGATGGTCGTATAGATGCGTAAATATAAGGCAAGTAGAAAGTAAAGTAAAACTGTTCCAGATTCGTAACAAGCTGTAGATCTTTCTTAACGAAATAACAATAAAAAACATCGGATTTATACCATGATTACATAAATCGACACTGCCTAATCACCTTTAACCTAAAGCAACTAAGCGAGAAAGTGAAGAAAATCAATGTTACATGATTAGTTTTGCAGCTTCAGTCAAAGTGAATAAAAATATGCGACCAATCACTAAGGGAATGTCTCCTGTACGTGTAACACGATAACAGTCAGATAAAAGAGAGGAAAGAAGCAGAGAGAGAGAATGCCGGCAGGCTAGTGGGTGCGCACCCTGTTGATAATTGTGATGATTAGTTTATAATTAGAACTTTAAAACTTTCGATTAGAAGAACAAAATTGATCCTAGAACGGCGGCATATTTTTTTTCCAAAACGTTTACGCTACCCAGGCGAAAGCAATTTGAACACGTCCGGCCGCATGTTTGACGTCTGTGATTTGCATCCTTTTGGCCGCAAAACGGATATAAAACTGTTGCATGTGAATTGAAAATTTGTAAAATCGTTTAAAGGCCTCACAAATAGGCAAACTGAGAGCCCCCCTACTTTCTTGGTGTGATGCTCAATACGCATAAACGGCAATAGGCATATGATAAAAGTTTCCTGGTATATTCCGAAAAAAACGACCACGCCAGTCCAATATTATGGAAAATTTAGTTTTATCTTTTTTTTAAGATTCCAAGTCTAAAAATGGTAAGTATAAATGATTGGGTCAGCGCCGAGTACAATTTTCTTACTTGTTTTCACTTGATTTTTAATACGTTAAGTGTAAAACCGGCACAATTTGCACATTATTCAATAATTGCCTTAGTATACTCTCGAAAGTAAGTAAGTTTGATCATAATCTTTTTGATTAAGTTTTATGTGAGTTTTAAGTAGAAGCCTTTTAGAAACTCTAATGAAACTTAGGCAATCTAAGATTATTTAGGATATCGCACTAACCAAGAATATATTATTTATTTCGAGTTGATAATAACACAATGAAAAACTATTATTAATAGTAAGGCAACCTTTATTAATAATAAATTAAGAATAGAACATACCCTGAGTGAAGTGAATGGATAAAAAATTGAGAAACATTTTCAAGCCCAACAATTATTGGCCGTCCTTGGCCGTATCGTAATTCCAATGAACAACGTTTTACCGCCTAAGATAACATGTTATACCATAAAATGATTTTTCATAAGGAAAAGTCGAAAACATCTTCCAGCAAACTTCGAATAGGCAGCCTATCGGTTAAGGCTCAATTGTCGTATGCAGAGACTATTGTCTTGTATGAAACTGTAGGATTGATAACTCGCTATTCGAAGCAATGAAGAGGATATCTTTATATCAATACTTCGATATTATTTGCCTATTTACACTTTTAATCTCAATTTGTATATACCAATCGCGAACATTTTGTGTATAATCTTCTTCTGTTTCTATTATTATCAACTTCCACATATGGATTTGGAACTTTCTGCTAACTGTGGTTACATCAACCCTATGTGTTGTCGAACATTACAAACGAAATGAAAAAAGTAGTACAGCCCTATGACGGGACGGCTTTTTATGTATTACCTTATGATGAAAGATTGAAGGGCTACCTAGGAAAAATGTCTTTAATAAATTTCCTGCGTTATTTCGTTTCTTACCCTGGGCTACGAATCTGTGCCAAATTTTTAAATGGTTTTTTCTATTAAAAACTAATTTGTTGCCTTTCAGCCTCAATGGGATCAAGAACATTTTCTGTCAAGACACGACCAACCACGTTGAATCCAATCAACAAAAAGAGATAAGGCGAGATATTCGCTAAACTTCAACTAAACTTAGCGGTTGATAAAGTTTTTGCCGGCAATTTCGTTGAAAAGCCTGCTTTGAGCTTTGTTACAACTTTTAATGTCTTTCGCTGCTGCGTTTAAATTAGTAAAACCTGCTCTTCAACTGAAATGATACAATAAACCCATCCCCTTCGGAATAAATCTCTATCTCTCCGTCCAACTAATTGTTATTTTCTCCGCGTTAAGTATATTAAATTTGCTATACGTTTGTACAGCACGGCCATACACCTCGTGGAGGTCCCCCAATTTAAAGACGTCTTTCTGTCCAATTTTTTAAATCACGATTTTTACATCAAACCATGTCCCGAATCTTTTCATATCACTCTCGTCACGGTATGCTTTGTCGCCAAATACCATCTCTGAAAATGTGATTTGACATATGTACGATATACAATCTTCACGATGTAAAATCTTCACGAACTTCACGATATACAATCATCACGATACCATCGACATATCAATATTGCAATTACTTGTAATACGCCGTCTATTGACAGATAGTAATAAAGTCGTTTCAAGCTGAACATAACCTTTTTCTTGTTTTTCTTTGAATTTGCAAGTTAAATTAAGAGCAGTGATCGATGTTTAAAAAAAAAAAAAAAAAAAAAAAATTGTATAATTTGTAGTTTTGATGCGATGATGACGATTGCATTTCACTAATTTATCATCAAATTGACTTGATAACAAACGCTAGGTAAGAGAACACACGCAGTGCCAACGAATTTGAAGAATTAATTAAAAAAGCACAGCTTTTAGGCAAATTTTCAACACTTTTTCAATTCCGTTCAATGCCAAAGAACACTTAACTTACGGCAAAACCTTAATTTATCATTAATTTCCAACTTACAATTGACCGTTCCTAATTAACGAAACTTGTCTTCTATGGCGAAGAAAAACAAACTGAATTTGATGTCGGTTTGCCGGCATGCTTTTATACTGTCATGAAATCATGATCGCGATTATGAAGAGAACGTGCCAGCGATACTTTGACGTTTGATTGCTCTTAATCGAACCTAGTAACATACGTATCCGCACAATGTGTTTAAAACGCAAAGTAACGCCATAAATTCCGTTCAAGAGAGCGCTTAACTATTGATAAGATATTTGTAAGAGCTGGGTGATAAAATTAACTTTCTTTAAACCCTACCAGAGAATACTAATGGTTTCCTTTGACTTCCAATTAGTAATATATACTTTACATGCAAAAGAAAACCAAATTTTTTTTGATATGACCAATCACTTAGTGGATGTCCCCTATATGCGTAACGCGTTGGAGGCCGAAAGAAGTAGAAAAGAGATAGAGTAGGAAAGAGATAGAAAGACGTAGGGAAATGGTGGCAGCAACTTAGTGAACGTATGCTCAATAATCAATATTGTGATAACCTAACCACATGAAATTGCTGTACAAAGCGACTTCAACCTAAAAAAAATATTTTTGTTATTTATAATAATTCGGTTCACCTGAGCTTGGTATTCACACGCTGGATATTCTTCTGCGCTGTTTTCAGGACCGAATTGTTGAATACCTTATGGCAATACTCACCGCCTGACTGTTTAGCAAAACATATGTTCTGTAGGAGCTTTGTCTTCTTGACAGCTCCTAAACGTTTTCGGCTGTCTTAATGAAACTATAATAATTGAACATAACAAATCCATCAGAAGTGCAATAAAAAGAAAAATGCAGAAAATAGTTGTTCAGTTTTATGTGCTTTACCCAGTTCCCCTTTGTCCAGACCATTTAATTCAACTTTCTCACCCAAACTTTCTACAGTAACTTCTGTTAATTGAACTTTTATATGCATTTCTCCTATAGTGTTTGCATTAGTGTTTGCAGTTAATCGTTAAGTGCTATGCCTTTACTGACACAGAACTCGTTATAACTACGACCGAAGTAAACGCTATCCCGTTGAGATTTAAACCAGCAAACTGTGACTTGGTAGCTGCGATTCTGACCTACTCGGCAACTCTTGAGGAAATAATAAAATCGCAACATTTTTATACAAATGTCCCAAGCATGAGGAAACCTTTGCGCTTTTGTTAACATATATTTTCCTGCATTTACTGACGATTCATCCGTTAAGACGACTTTTTCAAATACTAATGCAATTATTCTGAGGTATCTAATACCAGACGGGCGAATGGAAGGACATGACGAAGTTAAAAATACGAAAAAGCGATTTTTGTAATCAAGCGCGTTTTCTTGCCATAATTATAAACAACGATCGTTGAATACTTCTATCATCCAAAAACGCAGGAAAAACGTACCACACTCGGCTTAGTGAACAACTCCACCCCCCAGCAATACTTGAGCTGATAGTTAGTTTAATTATCTTTGAACTTCCACAGATTGCATTTCTTATTGATTTGTTTATATTCAATAGGTTGAGAATATAAGTCTGTTTGCTTTCTGCTAACAATTGGATATTTCTTGGCCATAAAAAGATAACGAACACATACAGTCGCATCTGCAATAAAATATATAATGTATAATATAAAAGTTTTTGCCACTGTTATAGAATTTGTAGACGTAGAATTTGTTCACGTTTTTGAACTCAATTTCTAAATGCTGTCAAATTTTTTTGTGGAATTCCAGGAAATGTTTTAAAAAACATTTGATCTCACATAGGCAAAGAAAAACATTAGCATTGTATACGTATTAGCGGTCCATCCGAAAAAACTAACTATGATGCTTATCATATATTTATATGATAACTCTATTTAGAAATGCTATGCAATGGGGATAATATTATAATCGTAACAGGGCAATTTATTCCATTGTCAGCTAAGTATGATGTCTAAATGAACCAACAGCTGCTAGACAATCAGAGATGATGAACTGAACTAACTCAAGGGTACAAAATAATTTAATTTCTAAATGTGAGATAGTGTTGGGTCTGTGATGCCTTTCCAATCTTTTCATTCCATTGGATTTATTGAGACGAAATTTTTCTAGAATACTACTCAGCTTGTTTAGATATTTTGAAGGTTGGCGTTATGTGTCAAGATCATCATGTAAAGTTTCTTTGCAGTCAAACCATCGAGTTTTAACAGTTAGATGAAAAGTCTTACCTTCTTATTTTTCTACTATTTCAATATTTCCCTTTTCACTATGGAACGAGTGGTACTTCCCTATTAATTTTTAGTCAATATGTACATTAATGTTATTAAGGATGGTACTGCCATTCACAATATGCGAAAAATAAGAACCGCTACTCGTCTTGTAAGTTAAATGCGTACGTCTTTCATACGTTTATTTTATTGGAGCCATTAGATTGAAGTAAAATTGCTGTGTCACCCACACATACTGCAGGTAAATTATTGTTAACATTCGGAAAATCTAAAGTGATAATATTATACAGCATTGCACGCATTGCACTCAACATATTTCCTGATGCATTCCAGCTCTACTTTCATACATTTTAGATGTTCCATTTTCAACTTTAAAATGCGGGTGTTTGTGGCCGCGCATAAATATTGTTTCTCGTAAATTGACTATATTTTATATTTTATTTATTTTTTCGTTTAATTGCATTTTTATTGCATGCAATAAATCAAAGAGTTTGGGAGTAGTTAGCTGTTCTCCTTTACAGCTTGGGATAACTTAATAATTAATAAAAAGAAAACAATATAATATATAATGCAAAAATAAGATTAAGGGATAAATCTGTACAAAAAAAAGACCTTGACTTAACAAGAAAAACAGACCATAAAAATTCGTTAAAAGCAATCGTGCTTAATTTTTACAAAGCACAAAAATATTTTGCATAATTTATTTTAAAATTTATTTATAACCAAAATATTAACCTTGCTTTTGGTCAAAAATTGCTCTATTCAGCACAAAGATAATACCTTCCAAATCCCAGCGCTCAAATTGAAATTTGCCTCAGAGACCCATAATCTTAACCATATTTACTTCCTTTATTATGCATCTTTGCAAATGCAGTCAATTTGGTCAGATTTGTATCTTTTGTTCAAGGATCATGTAACAATATCAGTTATAATTTAAACGTCCGCATATCCAGCCAAGAGCATCGAGAGATTAAAAACATGCTACGAGAACAACAGCAATCTTGCTATTTTATAATATTTTTCGAAAATAATTCAGTTTTAATGTTTAAAAGGCCCGTTCATTATCTCCATCGAATGTTAATATTATATTACATTTCCTCCTAAAAAATTTTAAAAATATGCCTTTTGTTTAGGGTCATAAAGTGGCGTCAATTTTTCGCCTTTTTCAAGGACTTCATCTCAATGAAATTTTGTAGTGTTATAGTTAATATAGAAGTTCTTGTATTCCCATTTTTAGTTTTGCAGCAGTAGCTCTTTTTAATATAATATATAAAAATAGGCAGAGTCTCGACTAACAATTCAATAGTCGTGAGTTCGAATCTCAAATGAGGAAGAGAGAGGAAGCCGATAGCCTTAGATGCTAATGCTTTAAGACTTTAGTCTCAGAATTTATTCTCTGGCTAAATTAATAATAATAGTAATTATAATAATAATAATTTAATATAATTTTTCATATATACGATTTATTGTCAAATCATTTAAAAATGAAATATTGAAACGCTACAGCATAAAAGTCAATTATAGGACTTGAAAGATTCAATACAAACTGTCCGTAATTAAAAGTATGGGTTTGCTATGGTAATTAAGATCTTAATTTCAGATCACAATGTTTTCGAAAAGATTTTTCTTAGAGAATACTTCTGTATTTTTATTAAAATAACCTATATGGCGATGGTTTTAAGCAAAAATTGCAAAGTTGTGCTAAAAAAATATACCCAAACTGTAGGAATAATATACCCTTAGGATTAATATATCCTTAGAATTTCGCTATGAAATTTATTATCGATTTAATAGGCATGTTCCTATGCAACTTTGCTAAAATTCGTTGGGTTTTTTCTTATTTCAGTTTTTTGTTAAAGTTTCACAAATTTCTTCTTTTAATTTGAAACCCTTTTAATTCCTTTTTTTTGAAATTTTTTCGCAATTGTTCACTTGTTACAACTTCTTTGTGGTTAAAACGGCTAAACGCCGTTATTTGGTTTTTCCCGTTGCAATGTTTATAAAAACTTACCCTTTTGTTTAGAATAGAGAGAGCACAGAGTTACTTTCAATAAATGCTAATATCCTCGACCATGATAAAAAATATCCTCGACCATGTCAAAAAATAGCCCGCGACCCATGATTAATGATCATTTCCTTTTAATGTCTTGTAGCTGCCGTAATCACTTAAATATTCTATGAAAGAAATTTAAGACTTGATTACGAAATAAGATTTTAAAGCAGCATTTAGCTAAAAAGAACTTCCTTTCACGTTTTCTTTTTTCATTCTGTCGTGACATCACATATCTTAAGACTGTCGCAATAAAAATGACACTTCATAGCGTTTGTATTCATCTAAGGCATATTAAACTTCAAGAATTGAAAGCAACAGAAAGTCAGTTTTATTATTATTTTGCAAAAAAGAAGCCAAATACAAACTGTTAGTAGAAATATGAAATAAAAAATCCCAAAGGTCATCTGCCCCATGAAATCAGCTTTTATGGTACATAAACTTCTGTGATAATAAAAATTTTAAAAAATTTGAAAATTAAACCATTAATCTCAATAATGCAAATTACATCACTTACTGTCAGTTACATCCCATCCTACCGGTACGCCCAATTTGCGATTTTCTGCAATTAACCATTTATTTAACGGTTCAAAATATTCCAACAGAGCAGAAGGATTCATTTCCGTATCACCGGTAAAATCTTCCAGTAACTCCTTCCAATGTTTTGAATTACCGGACGATAAAAAGTCACTGAAAGCATTGCCGGCTTCCTTACTTTTATATATGTCACAATTGTCTAATGGCTTCTCTGGATCGCCCGGTTCATATTCGTCGGCTTTTAGGCACATAGCCTTATGAAATTGGAATTGAAATATGTGTGCGGCAAAGTAACGCAAATACTCGACATCGGCTGATATATGATACTTAGCCGGAGGATCAAAATCTCTTTCCGTTCGCTCAATAGGCGGCTCTAATCCACATAAAACGGATCTTATTTGCCAAAAATTTACATTCCAATACTCTTCTCTTAATTCATCCCTAAATACTACATAACGAAATTTATCCATGGCATAGGCAAAAGGTAAAAAGACCACTTTTTTTAATGCCTAAGTTCATAAAATTGAAAATTATTATCAACAATGAAAAGATTATCTGCAGATCACATACCAATCTGAATAGCTCGTTAATTCGGCTTTGCTCGTTCAATCTATCAACTTTCGACAAGCCAATAGCGTGTAAGTGTTTGGGTGTACCGACCGACAAGGCAATAACATCACCAACTGCCTCATGAAAACCGGGATTAGCTGCTCCTCTAAAAGGCGTCGGCATATGTTCATATTGCAAATAATACTGAATGTGTCCCAATTCGTGGTGTACTACGTACAAGTAGTGAGCATTTACTTCTGTACACATTTTAATACGCACGTCACTGTCTCCATAGAAATCCCACGCAGAAGCATGGCAAACAGCCAACCTCTTATCCGGCTTTTCCAGCATACTTAATTCCCAGAAACTCGATGGCAAGGAACGCAAGCCCATTGACTGAAAAAATTCATCACCTAATTGAAATATTTTTTTCACGGTATACCCTTGACGCTTCATTTCACCGGTAACGTCGATGGTTGGTGCATTCGGATATGGAGTAAGCAGATCCATAACATTATCCCACTGTTGACCCCACATATTGCCTAGCAACTGGATGGGAATATTGCCTTTAACTGCAATAACATCCGGTCCATAGTGTTGAAATAAGCGATGTCGAACATAACCGTGAAGTTGCTGGTAGAACGGTAGTATTGCTTTATAGACGGCGTGAACATTATTCTCAAAATCAGGATCTTCATAGTAATGCTTCCAGTAATCAGCATAGGAATCGTAACCTGAAATTTTTTTCGTAAACTAATTGAATTAAAATATATTTAATATCTTATGAATTTTTCTATTGGAAGCACATTTTTGCTTTGAGAAATATGTTTACGCCATGAAGTCACAAATAGAACGATTGCCCAAGACTGTTCAATGTGTCACGTTTTTCCAGACAACGTTCCGTTATGTCGTACGTCACTTTTTACTTACTATTTAATTTAGCCGCCATCCTGGTTAATTCTACATATTTTGTGAATTGCTTTTTCATTGGTGTGCCAGCCTTGTTATGCCATTCAGTCCAATAATGTTCGAGCTCTTCTGGATTCCTACTTTGACCTAGTTTTCCTTGTATGTGGGGTTCTAGAGTCATATTGCAGAGATTTGGATTTTCAAAAGAGCAAACTTTGGTCGAAGCGTAGTTGGTAAGCATTTTACTGATAGCATTTTGTAGAGTTACAAAATCTTCCGAATCTAAGACATCAGCACCTATATCAGACAGAATCACTGCTTGTCGCTTCAAACAAGGGTCCGTAATCTGATCGTATTTAAATATTTTCTTTATAGACTCTGCCAACTCCTTATTTTCTTTAGCGTTTTGAGAGGCTACCTCTATCATAGCCTGCCGATTCCCTTCCGTCAGATCCGTGCTATACTTGAAGGCAGCTAAATTCTCCTTTCGTTTACGCAAATGCATTAACTCATTTTCGCGCTCAAAAAATTTTAATGCCTCTGGGAACTCTGAGGAGCAAGTGTACATTTTCGAAGCTATGGCAGTAAAAGGCTGTCAAAACAAAAGTAATATGGAATAAAACTGAAAACCATTTTAAAGAATTATACCTTTACGTGAGATAAAGCCAATAAGCTAAACGTAACAACCCACAAATGCCTCATATTTTTAGTATTTTACGTGCCTTTATGCAAATGCCCATTGATTCTGAGATGTAAAGATCAATTGTCCAGAGAATTCTTATCGTCACAAAATTCTTATCAGTTTGTTAATGTCCCAAATAAAAACACTTTTTCACTTTTTGTAGTACAACAAAACAAAAATACGATATTTCTCTTTTTGTTATTTATTGTTGAATATTTGAATAAAATCTTTGAATCAAATTTAAATTTTCCGAACGTCTTTCGATAAACAGGAATTTCAAGTTGTCGAAAAATTTTTGAAACGAATAAACACAATAAAATTAGGCAATCGATTTTTCAATACCTTGCTCCTTTCTTATTAATGCAAATTTTGACTCATTTCCACGATTAAATACCCTTTACAAGGATAGTTCAAAACGGGGTGCTAAACGCGCTCCAAATTTATCAAAATTAACCTCCTTTTCAAAGACGTCGTTACTATTCCCTTGTTTACAACATGAAGTCGTAAAATCGTTGCAAGTAAACAAAAAAAAATTATTTTGTGTAAGTACTCTGAACAGGGGCGGCAATTGAAAAATAGATCTACATGATACAGTTTATTTCTATGTCAAAGTATTATTATAAATCAGTTTTCAACATAAATTTTAAATATTTTTTATTATGTAATGGCTTACTTTTCATGCAAATCTTATACGGGATGGTACGCAAAAAATAGACCTACGACTAAGGTAGATTTCTGTGTCAATTAACTATTACGATTCAACTTCTACCACGAAATATTGGAAGGTCAACCTTTGCACCATATAAAGCTTTAGTTGACGCAGGAACGGTTATAAGAGGGGATTCAAAAAATTTCCTCAATCGGGCCAACGTTTTCACACCAATTTAGATAGACGAAATACTACTACTACTTAGCCACATTTGTCGAAAAATTTTTGAAAATTGAAATGTTTTTCCATATAACGACTTTTCAAAATAATGCTTTATATGTGGAGTGGTCGAAAAAGTCAAGCGATCCGAATCATTTTCGACAGCGTTTGTCCATGGACTAAAGCACGTCTGTACGCCGAATTCCAAATATCTCAAAAATTGCATCCTGTAACTTGAATAAAAATTTATATACACGGACATCAGACAGACAAGCGGACAGACAGGTTAAAATCATTTTCTAAATCGATAGGTATAATAAAAGTGAGGTCTATCCTAAGCCCTTCTGCGTCCGCAATAACTTAATATACCCTGTACTACAACTTGTGTAGGATATATTGTTACACATGAATCTTAAACTGATCTATATGGTCCACTAGCTCCTTTTTTAATTTTAAAAATCGTTTAACATCTAAATCGTGTAGGTGTGTACCCACTTTCCATTCAAGAGCAACTTGTAAAAGTATTCACGGGAATGTTTTGACAATCGGCCCAATCAGATGTATAGAACAGCAAATTTATTTTTGAAATAAAATTTTAAACCGTTTTAAGTTGTAATATCGGCTTTGTGAGTATGAAAAAATGCGCGTCAAAGAATTATATGCAAATAAAAAAGTTGTGCTTATTTTATAATATATATTTTCTTTGATGGTTTCTTCTTAAAATACAACAAAAAGCAAGTTATTTTGTTGGGTGTTTACATTGTCGACGAAAGTCGTGTATTATGAAGAAGGTGCTTGTTCTGTTCTCGCACATACTCTCCTCAATCGGTAGCCATAGACAACTCAATAATGACATACTTTGTGACTTATCATCAATCCCAATTCTAATTTTAATTTATTTTAATGTTAATGCAATGTGCTTTGCATTAGCATTTTTTCCTAAGTAGTTAAGTTCTTAAACAAAGCACGTGGAAATGGAATATACAAACCTAGAGATATACTTGGAAAAGGATTCCTGAAATATTTTTATAAGAAATATTTGTGTTTAATCCAGAAGAAAAATTGAGTGCGAAGATTTTCGGTTATTTCTAAGGGCATGTCAATTCATTATTTCATTTTGCAGAAATATGACTATCAAAAATTTTTGAGACAAGCGGTGCTTGAGAGTTTTTATTTACATGAACATCTCTTCTAATAAAAGGTATTTTCCAGAAATCCATTCCAAATAACCAATTTTCACTAAATTCTTTCAACTGCGTAAAATCAGTATGAAATATGAGGCGCGACAAAATATAAAGAAAACATAGACATAAAAGGAAAAATTATCCAATTGAAGTGCAGCAATTTTGATTAGAAAACTTTTTATAGAATAATGAAGTAGATGTTTTAAGTGCTTTATTTTCAACGTCAGAAAATCAAACAGGCGAATCAACAAAAGTTTTAAACATAACTCCATAACATACGTCTTTCTATTTATGATCTATTGGCTTTTACTTTCTTTTTAACAGTTTGCTATTTTCACGTGCAATCACGTATTAAGAAATGCTAATAAGGACGTTGCGTAATAGTATACTTAAAATGCAGTCAAGTATTTAAAACAACAAACACGTGAAAACTGTTGAGACAGAGTATATATTTTTATTGACATGAATTTGTTGTAATAAAAGAAACAAGAAGATGAGTAAAATAAACTATAACTCTCCCATGCTTCAGTTTGATGTTATTTTTCCACAATTTTCCTTGTTTCAAATTGTATAAAGTTGCGAAAGATATGTTGAAATAATATTAAGAGCGAAAAATATTTTTCCATTTTACTGGCAATTGTGAGAAAACGTATATGTGTCAAATTGTTTTACAGCTTAAGCCTTGGTTCTTTTGTAAATTCATAAAATTTAAGTGTGTTTTCTTTCATCTAGACAACTTAAGCTCATTATTGTTTAGATAACCATAAATTTTATGCAGGTAAGCAATGCGTATGAATTCGGAGCAAAAATGGTGACGCGTTTTTGTGGCATATGCATTCTTTATATTAGGTAATTTTTCCATTTTTACCATGTTAGGTGCATATCACGTAAAACAGCCGTTTTCATAGTAATGTCAACTTTTAATTCTTATATATTTTTAACACGAAAATTTTTATAATTACGCAACAACCAAATATTCAAACATAATAAATACAATTTTATTTTTGGAGTTGATTTCAGATCTGGTAATTAATTAATATTAATCGAATTTTGGACTTGGAAAAAATTTTCTTGTTCCTTTGCATGCTGTTTAACAACGAACGGTTAAGGGTTTACAATAATTTGCAATACTATTTCGTAATTTGAAATTAATGTAATTTTTATTAAAGTTAGTTAAAATTATAAACTTTAAAAATAAATTTATAAACTTTAAAAAAAACACCTTAACGACTGTGTCTCATATATAGTCGAAGGTACGTAGCGTTCGATAACGGGAATTAATCTTAGGTAAAAACGACTTTTAAAAGGTGAAATACTATTGCTGACAACACTACTATTCAAAGGTAAGGGAAAAGAACACGAGAGAATATCAAAAAATTAGAGTGCATGCGATATGTTTAAATTAAAACTTCGGATCGGATGAATTCAAATTAGCCTGAAATGGGTTACTTTTAAATTACGAAGGAATTTAGAATGTAATCGCACCTCTAAAAGTTAACTTTCGTTTACGACTAAATCGATAATTGATAAACGTTTTTGTTGTGGTCACGTAAAGCTTTTTTCTCGTTTTCGTTGCTATCACCCATGTGTAAATGAAAAAGTAGAAAAGAGTAGCAAATTTTTGTTTATTTTTGTTTGTGGTTTCCAAAATCGTTAAAATAAACAACAAATCAAATATTGATGAAGTAGCGACTCGCTTTTAGCTAAACGGTGTCGTGAACCATTAAAGAGATTCGCAAGTTGGCTGAGAAGGAAATGGTCACTTAGCTTGCCAGCAGTGGAGTAGCGCGGTAAGCAAACTTTTATTGTGCAATTTTCGGCTTGAATGTATGTAATGTCTGAGAGCGATACAGACGATTAGTTAAGAAGCGCAGGTAAATACACCTATATGATTTGTTGTTTAAAAGATTTAGCATTTTTTTTTTTTTGTTAGATGCGCCCAAGAAAAGTAAACGCGATTTGACACAACCGGTTTGCTTAGCGATAGTGAAAGACGCTTTATAAACAAGGTCCAACAAATATTAAGGGAGTAAAATCAATTATTAAAGGAGCACAAGAAGAGAATTAAATTAGCAAAGGAAAATTACCGATTACCACTTTCGTCAGGTTTCGAGCAGAGCCCTCCTCCTTCTCATAATAATTCTCTATTGCAAAGTTGGGTCTTCTTTCATCAAATGATCCAAAAAGATATATATTAATTAATACAAAACAATATTTATTAACATTTAACATCATTATTACTTACCTTTCGTATATTCAATTTTTATTTCTTTTTTGTTTGCTGATATTAAACGGACTAAGCCAACAAGAAATGTGGCTTATATGTTCATTTAAAAAAATTATGAAAAAATTCAAGGAGAAGAAATTTTGCTTGTTTTACAATTTCTGTTTTTGGGAATAACTCATATTTTTTCGGTCAATAACTTTCTTTTTCTTTTTTGTTTGTTAGTTCGCTTTTTTTAGTGCTTTGTTTTGGTTCAGCTGTTTATGTATAAACAATTTTGTTTGGAATTTACTTTGTTTTCAATTTACAGATGTTCTCTCTTGTAGATGCAATTCTAAACAATCAGTATGAATTCAGAGCAACCAATAATAAATACGTGAACTCTTGCTTTCGCATAATTTGACAAGTGTGGGGGAGCGTATATAAAAACTCTTGTGCTTATGTGATCCCAAAAAACCCATGGTAATTGAGCAATGCTGAATGCTATCGCATACGCAATCTCAAATCGAACCAAAACGTAAGCTAACTCTCAATGCATGATTACCCCGTGGTTTGTTTTAATGGAGTTGTCATTTCGGTACAATTTTTTATTTTTTTGTGAAGGCGTAATAGCAGATTTTTTACATGGCATCATTGGCCATTGCTATCATTTTTATTGTAATTTTCTTTACTCTGAGAGGATTTCTTTCATATAACCATTATTTCTGTTGGTGTTTAGTGTTTTTTAGAATGCGTTAAAAGAAAGATGTGTAAATTTTCTGGTCGCGAGAGCTTATGCGAAATATTATACGCTAAAAACAGAAAACGCGGAGTAATATAAAAAATGTATAGTTATGTGTGCATATGTGACGTGTTGAAATTGTTTTCAATATTAATACCATGAAAAAAGTAATTCATTCAATTGCCAACAAATTAATTAATTAATAATTTTAAAGAAGAAAGAATGCAAAAAAAGCAAAACACACACCTTTCGCAGTTCATAAATTATTAAAGAGCGTAAAAAGAGTGGAATAAGAAAGAAAGAAAATAAGTTTGAGTTCTGCTGTTTTTTTTTTGTATTGTTTACATGCCTTCGCTTGCATGTGTGTAATAGTGTTTGTATACATATTGGGGGAATGTTTACTTCTGCTTTTGTAATACTTTCTGGATTGACATAAATTCCTCGTAATCAACATGTAATTATATATATATTTTGAAATAATTATTCTTATTTTTTATGACTTTGTAATATTTTAATAAAACTTATCGGTATTTTATAAGGGCTCTACGCTGATCTATCAGGTGTGGTAGAATATCTCCTCTGTGGAAAAAGTGGATAATTGGAAAAATTAAATTTTAAGAAAAATTGTAATTACAATTTTTTTATTGCTTTCGAGTCGGGTTTTGGAATCTGATTAAATATTCCGAATCATACTGTGATTGTTCCTGCGTTCTGAATTTTTCCATTCCATACTTTGAGGTTTGTTGCTGCCAGAATTCCAGAAAAAATAAATATCACCATATCGTTTGGGAGCTTTTGATCTATAAGTTGTTATATTCCAGCTAATTGTAATGCGTCTTATTGTGCAATTAACAGTTTGTTTTTTTTTCAGGTCCGACATCTCCAGCTAATTGTAATGTGTCTTATTCTGCAATTAACCGTTTGTTTTTTCGTGTCCGACATCTCCGCATTGTAATGTGTGTTGGGATAGTCGCTTTTACAATTCACGAACCAGGCAAATTCAAAATTTTCTCCAAAGTAGGGATTTAGTTTTACTAAATAATGGCGATCCTGCTTATCCTACTTAGCTTATCCTACTTATCTTCTTCTATTCCGTTTGTTAAAACATTCATTTTTAGGTTTTGTTCTACCCCCGAAACTTTCTCCTGCTGCTCACGTTGACAAAATTGCCAAACAATGTTTTCAGCTCATTAACGTGCTGAAATCCATTTTTGGTATTTCATGGTATTTCCTCTTTGTATGATTAGACTGTATCTCGAGTTAGTCAGGCCAAAATTAGATCGCTCTTATTGAACATTCCAAGGACCTTATGAAATTATGCAGAATTCAATGGCAATGCCTGTTGGTGGCATCAAATCTGTACACACACTAAGCTTGAAACAAATGGCAAACGTTATGCCTCCACAAGAAAGAATTCATTTACTCTCCAACTTTTCGTCTAATAAACTTTTTTCTTTTGAGAATCATTCGGCCTTACCTTTCATTTATGACTTTTAATCATTGAATTCCCCTCCCTGCTTTTTTAAAAAATTTGCTGACAAAATTAATAATTTCAGCATTTTACGAACTGATGTACATGGCTTATTCAAAATTCCTTTTGGTTCTCAATATTTTCGGTCAGTAATTAAGTTTTTACTAGTGAGAAAGGCCACAGTTACTCCGGCAGAAGCGCATCACCACCACTCGAGCTTGGTCGACACTGAATGGTAGCATTTCTCACTCACCTTTACTGATGGATCGAAGATTGACATTGCAGGCAGCGGCTTTTGGCTTCCAAATCGAAGCTTATTTCTCAAATCACCCACGTAGTGATACATTTTCCGCCGCATGTTTTGCGATCCTGGAAGCCATCTGCTTACACACCTTCAAAAGGAATTCCTTATAGAGTCAGTCCGCAATCATTTCCCTCGGGTAAACCCACACAGAAATCAGATTTTTATTATATAGCCTAAAATCTGATGGAATTTGTTTTGGCGATCGGCAGCAAACACTCAGTTTTTTCTTGCCAAGAGCGATGGAATAATTTACTTTATGGCCGCCACTTATACTCTTTATTTCCACAAATATTCCTTGTTTTTTTGCGGTCTCAGACATGACATTATTTTCGTTATTAACAGGATGATGCTTAATCACACGAGATATGATGATCATTTATTCAAAATTAACACAATGAATAAGCGTTTGTAGACTCTTGCAATCTCCTGATCATATCCTATTTGCCTGTCCGTATCTTGCAACTTCTATTCTATACTTTGCAAATTGGGTATATGTTTTCTCTATGATCGCAGCATTCTTCACAAATTGCGTTCTCACAACTTAGCAGCTTAATTCGCAATCTTTTCTATTTTAAGGGTGTAAAGATAAATTCGTATTTAACTAGCAAAGACACCTACCATTTCTGTTACCAAAAATCTGTCAACGACTTAGCAAAGCTCTGTTAAATAATTACAATTGAGATATAGTTGGATTTCAAAACCTACTTCGCCCATATTAAGAAAAGGAAAATATTTTTGTGGACATTTCACGAATCTACATGAAAATACCTTTCAAACAAACTAAACAAATTCAAATTCTGCCTATGGGAGCTATTTTTAACGGTGTATTGAAATTTGGCATGTTAGCGAAAAATGGATATAGGATAACGCGCAAATTTGAGACTAGTGCGGCTAAACTAGAAAATGTCACCTGTATTCACCTACATCACGTGAATCTATATAAAAGTACCTGTCGAATGGGCAAAAAAAATTAAAACTCTCTTTCGGAAACTCTTTTCACCGATTTTTTGAAATTTGGTATGTTAGCGAAGCATGGACATGGAAGAACATGCAAATTTGAGACTCTACTGCGGCCAAACGAATAACGTGGTTTGACAGTAACTACATTGACATGCTCAGCTCACCTATTGGTAAATTTCGGTTTCAGATCTACATACCAGGGGCGCATATATATATTTTTTTTTTTCGTGGTAGTTACTAATTTGATAAATGACCTTTAAAAATATAAACTTAATCTAAGGACCAGCAGAAGTTAGCCCTTCGGAAGGGCGAAGAAATGTTCCGATTTTTGCTGATTGTTTTACATAATTGTTGTTAATCTAAATTTTTGATTTCAATTAATTTTTTTTTTTTTATTAATTTTAAAAATTACTTTATTTTTTCTCGTAGGATCTAATTCAATCAAAGAAATAATATTCGACCATTTTGTGTGCTATAGTGTGTCCATTGTGTGCAAATGTATCTGTCATTTAAATAAAATAATTTAAGAAAAATTTCCGATAATAGTAAAAGTAAGAAAAACATTGAAAAACAAATCAAAGAGCTATTAACATTATTATTAATTTATTGTGGCGAACATGAATAATTATCATAATCAAACGCCACCGCCGGTGTTGAGGAATCATCATCAACACTTGCAATCTAATAATCATCATCATCACCACGGTCATCACCATCATTATCATCAACAACAACAGCAACAGCAACAACAACAGCAACAGCAGCAGCAACAACAACAACAACAACATTCTAATGCTATAGCCGACACCACACACCATACGCAACTGACGGCAGTGCATCAAATAACGCATCAACAGCATCATTTTACAACACCAACTATACCGGCTTTACCGGCAACAGCCGGTGTTGTAGTTGCTGTACCGGTACTGTCGTCAGCATCTCAACCGTTAATCAGTAATTCGTTAGCTATACGTCAAGAGATACAACGCTTTGAAAGCGTGCATCCATCAATTTATGCCATCTACGATTTAATCGATTTACTACCCATCACAGATGCTCAAATCGCTCAACAAATCCGTGATCATGTAGTTTGCATTGAAGGTAAGTAAATGCAAAGATAACAAAAGTAATAATAATAATGAAGGCAACCTTGCACTTATGTGCTCTTAAATAACCTGAACCTTTCATTCTCCATTCATTTTTTAACATATTGAGAAAGTTAGAGCGTCTATTCATTTGAAAGAAGCTATGAATGTAGGCGTGCATGCACGTGTATGTGGGTTTACTTCTGTATAACGAATTTAATGAAATTTGCATAAATGATGACATTCGCAAAACATCTTGAATAACTATCGCAGATGATGTCAGCCGCCATGTTTTTGGCACATTTAGTAGAAACGATCAAATGTTCAGTGAAATCGTTGCAGTAAAAGCTATCGCTTTAATTTTCTCTTTTGTTTCATTGATATCTTTTTCACTATTCATCTTTTCTTTTTTTCTATAGTATATCTTTGTTTATTTTTATTTCTCTAACTATTTGCAATGTCTGCCGTTATTCCTTTTATGTACAGTGAGATAAATATTTTTTAGCGTATATACAATTTGTGTAATTGTATATGCATGGATAGCTGATGTTTCTTACGAAAGTCGCAAACGTTTATTGCTGTATGCGACCTTGCACATTTTCGATATGTTAGACCCGTCACAGCCTAGGCCGGAAAATTGTTTATATTTATGAGCAGCGTAAAGCGCATTTTTCATTCATTCTCGCCGACTAACGCCGCAAAATAGTAAGAAAAAAAAAAAAAAAACAAAATTAATACACCATACTGATAAACATATTTGTATCAAAGACGTTTAAATATCAGATTTCATTCCGGCGGACATATAAGACGGCATCTTAGTTACGAATAATATCTTTCCTGCGTCAATATTGAATTCCCGTGCTCAGTTTTGTTGTGCAATTACGCTCGGTTTCTGTCCTCGTCTTACAGTGATTCTATATTTGAACATTTTGCTTAAGAAATATTCAGAGACAAAAAGAAAGGAGTTATGTTCGACTTTTGTGAAATTTTGTAATATCTACAACAATATTATATCGAAACCTTTCAATTTTAAAAAATCGTCAATAAAGTTGAAGTATTATTATATCAATATATCATAACTTAATTTATTTGGGGGAGAAATGAAGTGAAGGTTAATAAAAGTTGCTCGGAAAACTCGAAAATAACGAAGGGTGTGAAGTTATATTTAAATATTACTAGCAAAGACACAAACTACAATTTTTTGCAGAGCTCTGAAAAGCCTTTAACAGAATTCTGTTAAATGAAGTCTCGGAGGGATTTAACTCAAAGTACGAGTAAAATAGAACTTTTCGAGAATGTAAATTAATTGATATTCGAAACCAAAACTTTTTTACACTATGCCATAAATGAGGTTGATAAAGCGAAAGTTTGCGGAGATACTGTGGCCAAACCATGTCCCTTGAAAAAATGAGACTAACACACAGTGAATCCTTTATTAATAGCTTATCCAACGGTGTGCAGGTTATATTAAATTTTGCCCGGAGAATTTTTTTATGGGACTTTGAAAATTTCCATACTTAACATGGTATAGGCTAACATATACGCAAATTTTGAAAGGCCACAGTGGCCAAACCATGTCCCTCGAAAAAATGAAACTACCGAATTAGTATTACGGTCGATTCTGGGTAATGGATTCCTTAATTAATGATTTGAGTGACCACAACGGTTTGTTTAACGAAAGACAGCTCTAGATTGAGATGAAGCCAATTTGAAAATTCTCATAAGGTTCAAATTGACAGATGAAACTTTAGCTGCCAGATAATTTTTTATGTTATTCTCAGAACTGTCAAGCGCCAGTCTTGACATGAATATTGCCGTTCTGGGGGATACTCCCGTCAAGCAGACGTCATCCCTACTAGGAACAATAGGGTTTGCAGGCAGACAATTTTGAGTTTGCGAGAATATAGAGGGGGTAACCACACTTGCTCGTGCAGCTTGTGCGATTTGCTCTGCATGGTGACTAGCAGGCCCCCTCATATAGCCAGGGGGAGAGGCGGATTTGTTATTTTTATTATTATTTTTTGGAGATGCACCCAGAGTAGCCTGAATGGAACCACTGAGAGGCCATTTCCTTGCCACTTCAGCGTATCTAAAACGAGGAGGTCTATCCAGCTTTATTGTAATTATTTTATTACCGACCGACCCAACGATAGCGGAAACGTTAACGTTCTTTTTAGGTAAAGATGGGGCACCCACACGAGCCAACGAATCACATTTAAGCGAAGGCGGTGGTGAAGTACCGTACGCTACACTACGAGTTGGTCTTTTACAGGTTGGGGGAGGAGATGAGCGCTCTTGGTAACGATAGATATCGAACATTGTCTTGATCTTTTTAAACTATCCACACAGAGTAAGGAGATTTTAGCTTAAGCCAGAAAACCCGTTCCTTATCTCCATGAACAGATTTATAGAAGTCAATATCCCGCTTCCTACAGTCAGGACACGACAAACGTTAACCTCTCGAAGAATCTAGGATTGCATCTGCAGCATCGCCATTGATACCTGCACACTTCGCATGGCAAAAACTTTTGCAATGCGAACAAGTTAGACGTAAACTTCGCACGGCTAGTGGCATATTAAATAAAGAGCAAACCAAGAGAAGAAGTGTAAACAAGCAAGAAAAAAAAACAAAGAGACTTATTGAAGTTCATTGGGGTTCAATATAATCCAAATAATTTAAATTCTTTCTTACATTTATAATTAATTGGGCTTTAAACAATAAGATAAAAAAAGGGATTGCAAAATTTCATCACACAAAGTAAGACAATTCTTCGACCACAGCACACCCGCAGAGTTGTCAAACTTTGGTTGAAACAAAATTTTTATAACACTTTACAGCTCGTTTATCCGTTTGAGTTTTCTGAAATAAAATATGTTCCAGATCATTCGCCGCCATGATCATTGATTGTCGGATTCGGATAACCAAAAAACTGCATTCAGAACTGAATTTCAGAGCTGCAATGGTTTTCATCAACAAATTGCTCAATAAATCATCGTCGACTCTTTAAGGTACGAACACCAAACACCAGTGGCACAAGCGTCTACTTCCATGCTTCTAAACGAAAGCACAAATGAGGAAAATGCAGACATTTGAGAAAATCGTTATTTAGTGTAATTTTTTTCAGCCGTTGGCGCTGTTGCCATTCAATCTGTCTAAACCCATTTTGTATTTTAAGCGAGAAAATAATAAACAGATCAGAAGATTATATGTGTGAATCTGAGAAATATTTTACTTAAAATTAGAATATGAAAATAGCAAATATTTTATTGTCACACCTTAGTTTATAAGATGGGCGATTTATATCGCACTTATAGTTCTCCTGGACTAATATTTAAATTAAATTTCAAATAGACAATTGTGCAATTGTGTTATTTATTGGTAAAAATTTTTTTTTATTTGTTTCAATTGGAATTTACGAGGCATATGTCGATATAAACTACAATTATATTTACGGCTCCCAGTATCGGGGAAGTGTGAAAAAGGGATGGACGGAAGCACACAGATGAGTAAACGTATATGGCGGGATCTGCTAATAATTGGATGTTAATCAAAAATATACACATATTTATTAAGGCCTTCTGATACACATATGTAGATACTATAGATGGTGACCGATGGCACAAGGTTATATACAAATGATCAGCGTGGCAAATCAGAGAGCAAAATTATTTCCACCACTAGTGATTCTGAGGTCTCAGAAAGAGAAAATGATTAAGGGTAACAATCTCGCAGTTTAGTCAGTGGCTACACATCTTTAGATCATGTCCCCGGGATTTTGGAATAGTCATAGACGCCACGAAACAGCTTGATGGGTCCTTGCGAGCAGTCAGAGGATAAGCATTCTCTGCGTTTTCCGGTAGGTACTATACTATTCATTGCATATTGAAAGCTCTTCTCTGACTTATGCCACTTATTAAGTCATTTTAATCACTCGTAAAAGTTGGAAGGCTGCCCAAGACTTTAAATTTTGTCCATTACCTTCTAGATTTTTGCACGAAGTTTTGTCTAATGTTCTTCCTGATTTTCAATATTTCTATTACCTTTATTGGCGATTTCAAAATGATCGTTTTCGAACTGACCGAGTCACCGATGTTTATGTGTAGGCTTGGATGGATTAATTATATAATTCCCTTCATTATTTAGTACATATTTAGTATTTTATATAGTAATATTTAGTCAGTTTTGACAAAATTTTGATGAAGGCTATGCCCTACTACAGCGCTTTGACTTTTATTAATATATTATAGCTATATAAAATTAAATGATTAACAAATGGGTTTAAGATTTAAATGCTGTATTATTTGTGCTCGTGAACCTGTTAAGGTATATTTCTAGGAACGACAAGAAAAAATATGCATAGGGACTTATTCAATAAAAATTAAAAATTTTGCATTTAATTTTTTGTATGTTTATCGTTAACCAAACTTTGACCAGCACGTTTACTCGATTTATGCCTTTTTTTCTTTTGTAATGAAAAAAAAAAATTGTTTTTCCTACGTTAAAAAAAGCCCATCATATTATAATATGAAGCGACCGAATACATTTACAATACTAACATATTCGAGCACCCACATGTTTCGGTATATAAACTCATGCACACATCAATGTCATTGACATCAATAAACCATGAAATTGCAATAGACCGTTTTTTCCATTTGTGTGTGACACAGGCATAGATAGATATAAAACGATAGGTTTGGCCATATGGTAATAAGAGAAAAGACTAAAAAAAAAGTAACAAAGCAAGAAGAAGAAGAGCAATAGGTAGAAAATAAAAAGTGACAATAAAATACTAAAGAGAAACACTTGATGCAATAATGTACCGTCTGAAATGTCCATATGTGCGTTGGTGTTGGTAAGTTTATGCGGTTTTTCTCTTTTTTTTAATATTTCTGTTGAACTCACGCGCACCCAGCTTAGCTAAAATGTATGTGCGAGCAGTGTCAGGTGTGTTGCAATACAAAAACATAAATCCAAATATATACAAACATATCACAGTAGGTAATAACAACAAC